CACATGGTGATATTAAAAAAAACCGAATATTAAAATCAAACAATGACTTATCACTTTAAAATTTGAAATAAAAATGTATTTGTTTCAGAAATGCAACAACCTTATCATGTAGCGCTTGGTGGTGGACTCTCAACTGCGCTGGGCTTGCTACTGTCACAGCCTCACTCTCGACAGCATGCCTGGTCAGGTCATTTTGGGCAGCTGATACTTATCTGTTATCTCCTTGCTGAGATTGGCGAAAGTTTTTCGGGTGTCGAAGCGCGCTTGTTGAATTGTCACGCCCAGGCAAATCCTTTTGGCGAAATCTCTTCTGGTACAGCTTGTGGTGGATGACGATGGTGGCTAAACTGTGTGTCCTATTCTTGTGGTCGGAGACGCTAATGAGATAGTTTTCACCATCATGGGCTTTAGTGTTCTTGAAATCGTGTACCGACATGCCTTGTGCCACGCCGGGCCGTTGAAAATTCTGAAGGCAGAGGGAAGTCACCAGGAACTTGGTATAGAATCCGGACTGAACTCAGGGTCGGCCTCACGAGTGTCGTACTTGGCAAAGATGTCAGCCAATTTCTCTTTGATGCGGGGATTGGTGGTGAAGGCCGTCAGGAATGCCAAATAGTCCTGAGTGGGTGTATTCTGCTGGTGCGCCAAACGTCAGTGGGGGCGAAATCGCAGTCATACTGCAGAAACTTACGGAAGTGCTCGAAAGCAGTGTAAATAGCATCCTCGACAAAGGATGGGGGAGCGTGTTGCAAAAGATGTCTAGCATAAACAACACGGATGGTGGCATTCTGTCCAACCGTTTCCAGTCGATATCACAGAAAGGTCACATAGTGACAACAAAAAAAGACGATAAAAACCATATCACAGAAAAAGTCATTTAATGACTACAAAAAAACACTAAAACCAATATCACAGGTAATACACCACATGGTGGTATTAAAAACAAACAAAATATTTAAAACAAACAATGAATAATCTATTTAAAATTTAAAATAAAGACCTGCTTGTTTTAAAATAGCCACAACCTTCTCATAAAGAGAAGGTTGCGCAAAAAGCTGAAATAAAGGTTTGAGATGCTTACACTCAATCAGAATGTGTTTCACTGTCAGGCGGATCTGGAACAGACTGGTTGAGGCTCTCGCTTGAGCAAATAACAGTTGGTGAGGTGAGTATGTCCAGGTTTGAATAAAAAGATCCTTGGCTAATGATTAAGTCATTACGTTAGTACTCTAAATTCAACATGCCACCAAAGGTTTCTGCGTGATAATACCGTGCTCACAGGTCAACTATCTTTTAAGGACAGGTATTTATTTATATCATCGGCACATATTTCATCATTTGCACACACAACCAAAGAAGATTCCCACAGATAAAAATTGTCCAGTTTTGCAGAGGCTAGCTAGCCATTTTTGATCAACCCGGAAATAGGTTTTGTAGTACGGTCAAATTTCAAGATCGCTGACCGGCTATAGCCTCTAGAGAACAACACCACCCTATTATAATCTACTGGCCATCTGTGTTTTGTAAATAAACTCACCCATCCAAAATTGTGTGTTATTGTTGTGCTTCAACTTTTATTTGTTTCACCTGTCCGACCGTCAACAGTCCTTTAACACCAACTTCTTCAAATTTATTTATTTATTTTTTTTAATTATATTCACTTTTTCTATTCCTTTTTGCACCTTCCAAAAAAAAAAAAAAAATTTTGTACATTATAAAATTACTAATTCAACATGATCGAAAGAAAGTTTACCATGCAGATTAAATCCGCAGTGGCTCTGCAATCAAACATCAATTCGCAAGACTTTCTGGATATCATGCAGGAAAGAAAGTCCCCTATGACCATCATTAGGGGCTTCCAGAACTTGGGGAGAGCTAAATTTCTGATTTCTTTCGAACAATTTCATGCATGGTTTAAACAAGATTCTAAAATTTATAATAACATCAAATTTGAAATAGAACATGCTAAAAACATCCCAGCTCTGAACCGTTAGCCTGATATCATGGTTTACGGTGCACCATACGAGATGCGGAATGATGTAATTTTGACAAAATTACTTACATTCTGTAGTTCTCTACGAATCAAAAGAAACACATTCTCACGCCATCCAAACATCGATACTGGTGTGAGATTTATCTTTACACAGGAGATAAAGAAACCAATCCCCTCCAGTATCCTGATCGATAATCTCAAGCTGGGTATAAAATATGAGAACCAGCCCAAGACGATCCAAAAATGTTTCTTGTGTGGCGGTGCGAGCCACTTAGCAAAAGATTGCCCTAAACCTCACTGTGTCCCTGACCCAATACCTGCTGCCCAAAAACCAAAACCAGCAGTAGGCAAAACAAGCTCTCAAACGTACGCTGATAAAGTCAGGGGGGGCAACACCAGTCTCTCTGAAATAGCCATAGAGAGCCCTAAGGAATTCCATACCAAACCAGATCCAAAACCCAAGTCAAATCTAATTGAAAGTCTCGGCATCGGAGACAGAACTGAAGCTCTGATGGCCGAAATTCAACAAATAAGAAATGAGTACGAGGAACAAAACATTGCCGAACCAGAAAGGGCAACCTCTACTCCCGTCCGAGACATCGATATTGAGCTCCCCCCAGGTTGGGACGAGCTCAACATCGACGACTATGATCGAAGCAGAGAGGAGATTGATCTTCGAACCGCAGCAGAAAGTCTACAAAGATCAATTAACCGGGCGTCAGAAACCCTAAACCAATCCACCAATACCACCTTCAAAACCCCGGCAAAAACCTCCACTAAACGTCCAATAACAAGCCCTTTCGAAGACAATCAAGAAAAGAAAAACCGAATAGAAGACCCTAGAAAGACTAACCAGAGATCTATCTCACGAGATAGAACTGTGGGTAGTCGGGACTCAAGGGTCAGCAGATGCGATGCCGGTAAAGTTCAGAAAGACCGGCAGAGATCATCATCACACAACAGAAAATAAAATATCATATCAATGTTTCACTATTTGAAATCAATCTTTCATCCCTTATTAAATTCATACCATGATCATATCAACTTTAAATATTCACCGCGGTTTTGACACAAAAAAACATCAAATTTTAGATTTCTTTAAATTAAACGATTTTGCATGCTTATAGGAAGTTGGAATCGTTACTGATCAAAATTCTACAGATATTTCTACCATCTCTAAATTTAACATAGTTTTCTCCAACGGCACTAATTTAAGCACGGCAGGTGTCGCCACACTCTATTCAAAAGATTTCAAATTAGTCCGTACTTATACAATTCCAAAACTAACTGGTCGCTTTCTGCATTTAGTACTTACCGGTAATGACGTCACGTTTCATATCATCAATGTATATGGCGTGAACGATCATAAAGAAAAAAGGTGATTTCTATTCTGAGGTCAACACCCACGTCTCTAAACATTTCAACATTAGAGACGTTTTTGTAATATGCGGTGATTTCAACCTCATAGAATCTAAACTAGACAGTAAAAATAATATCATGATCAACCAACCTCTTACTGCATTGAGTCAGCTGCATCTGATGCAAACCAACTGTGTAGTAGAGGACGCCTTTAGATCCAAGTACCCTAGAACCAAACAATACACGTTCCTGAAAGATGCTTCTGGTTCCCGGATAGACCGTATCTACCTTTCTTGCCACTTCTCCAAAAAAATACAAGATATAATCCATCTCAACTCCTTATTCTCCGACCACAAAGCGGTTAAACTCACCCTTAACCTTGGGTCCGCACGATGGGGGAGAGGGAAATGGAAACTGAATAATTCCATTCTGGAGGACATTGAGTACTAGACTCTCATCCGGGAGTTTTGGTCTGATTGGAAGGGTAATAAACCCGACTATGAAGACCAAACCTCCTGGTGGGGGGAAGGTAAAGCCAAAAGTAAAACTATCTCGATTAGATACTCAAAAACCAGATCCAAAACTATCAAAGCTGAAATTGAAAACATACAAAATGAAATAAACGAAATTGAAACTTACCTTACTTTAGACTAACAAAATAAAACCCGTCTGGAAACACGGTATTCAAACTTGAAAAAAACAAAAATTAATAAAGGCATTCTGATACGATCCAAGTTGCCTTTCGAGGATTCCAACATTGAAAATCTCGGAATGTTTCGAAAGGCAGAATTGGATAATTCGACAAGAAAGGAGATACGGAAATTGGAAGATAAAACTGGGAAGATTAAATCCTCAGCATTGTCCAGGCCTTTTATAAGGACCTGTAGGGAAGGGTGGGTAAAGTTGAGCCACCCCCTCTTAATGCCTTCTGGGAAGAGGTATAACTTAAAAGGTCCACTTGTTAAAATAATGTAAGAGTTACTTCCCTTTAATGTCAATGTCAAAGAATTTAGAAGCTTAACAAGGTTTAACAACTTTGAGTGTTTTTCACCAAGAAAAGTAAAATATTCGTTTTAAGGTATGTAGTTTAATTTCCTCAATACTAGTCCATATTTCTGATATCTTCTTGCACTGTGCAATAGTTTGAAATGTTGGCTTTGATCATGTAATCTTATATTAATGTAGAAACCATGTGCTTGTCCCATATGTGGCTCATCTTACCCCAATATCATCAACACATGTTCATAATTACATCAACACATTCTGACTATTACATATATTGACTTCGTTGTAGTTCAAGTTTCCGGGAAATCTCGTAAAATGAACTACATAGCAAGAGTTGATCTATTGGACGGAAATGAGTATGAAGGTGTATTCCTTCAGAATGTTTCCGAAAAATAGATTCTGAAGGAATATCTTTTTGATATTTTGATTATTGATAATTGTATGTGGGCTATTATGAACATTGTTTTTCATTTAAAGGGGAATAATGTTCAGTATTTTCGATGGTCAATTTAGGACTAGAATATACATAAATAGCCTACCGAAGTACTACAAATGCACGAAAATCATATAATTCCTCCAATTTTATCCCTACCTTAATATTTATCCTTCATTTTCTCTATCAAATGCCTTTCCTGGTTTATGCCAGTAAAGCCAGATCAATACGTTTTTCATCCGCATACTTTATTAGACTGTCAATCGGGAGCAGGTTATTGATAATGTTTTTGCCTTGACCTGCTCCCGATTGAGTGTCTAACAAAATATGATTTAATACTTTGTTTAGCCTATCGGCGATCACTTTGGTAATGATCCTGTAGTCTACCGTCAGCAGAGATATGGGTCTCTAGTTTTTTAAATCAGGTTTTGAGCCTTTATTTTTTAAATTGATGGTTAGTATGGACGTCTTCATGCTGTCAAATAGTTCATGTCTAAAATATATATTATTGATGGTATCATGAAGATCGTCCTGCAGAATGGGCCAAAGCTTGCAGTAGAATTCCATGGGAACCCCATCGATCCCCGGGAATTTATTGTTTTGAAACCCATTCAATGCTGTAAAAAGTTCTGATTTAGTAATAAGAATATTATTGATTTTTGTTTGTTCTGCTGGCGGTAGACTATTGACCTCGGACTGATCGATGTAGTCCGTTATTACGTCCCTAGCGATGAAGTCGGATGTGTAGAGGGTTGTATAGAAAGATTAAACTGCTTTAAGAATATCTGTTTTATTAGTATGAATTTTGCCGTTAATATCTGAAATTTTATCTATTTGCTTTTTGGAACCAACTTTTTTGTCCAACTCAACTTTTCTAAAAATATCTAAATTTGCTTAATCGCTAGGTTCAAAGGGAGTTCTTGATCGAATTAACGTCCCTTTGTTCATGGTGTTTTGTAACAACTTAATTTCATCGATCAGTCATCGGTGGATGTTGCCAACGTGATCGTTATTTCGGTAATGAGTATTTTCGATGTCGATATTTTAGTTCTCTAACTGCAGGAGTTTATCCCTGAGTTTTTTTTTAGATCGACATCGACTATACTGTATTGAAATGTCTTTGATGTGGCCTTTCCCCGTTTCCCACCAAATAAGCTGGTCAGGATAGTCTGGCTTTTTTAACTGCCAGAAGCACCAGAATTCTGTGATTAGTGCGATGTACTGGGGATCGTCAAGTAGTGTGGTGTTGAGTTTCCACTTGCCTTTACCCCAGCCGCTTGACCCTAGTCCCACTTCCACTGTTAACGATTTGTGGTCGGAGTATGGGATGTTGTTATGTTCTATTTTTGAAGGGAATTTAGATGTTTAGAGAGGTACAGACGGTCAATACGAGTTCCAGTACTCCTGACAAATGTGAATAGTTTAGTTCTCGGATACAAGTGGCGAAAGCTCACATGTAATAAAAAGTCTGACTTGATATCCGAGAGTTTGGAGAGAGCAAGTGGAGGTTGGTTTTTCCAGGTCTCTGTTTTTGAATCCTGTTTTCTTTCAATTAAGTTGAAATCCCCAGTAATAATATAGATGTCAGCGATGTTAAAAAATTGATGAAGGTGAGTATGAATTTGATTTAAAAAGCCTTTAAATTCATACTCCCTTCGGCCGTATATAGTTAATTTATAACGTGAAAAATATTTTTTTGTACAGTACACTTGATGTGTAGGAGTCTACCTACTAATTGAGGGTTCAGGAAGGTTTGGATGGGCCCAATGGACTTTTTGTATAAAATGGCAACACCTCTACAGATGGCACTGGGTCCATTGGATCTAACCAGGGTGTAGTCTGAGATCTTGGTCCGAGAATATCCCTGGTCCGAGATTATCCCAGTTTCCTGCAGACAAATGATATCAGTCTGTTAATATATGGTGTAATTTGCCTATGAAGCCTCTATGTATATTTAAAGAAGAAAAAATCATGTTAGGGTTTATAAATGAAATGAAATGCATTAAGGGGCATCAGCACCAAACCGCCTATATAGCTCCAGAATACGTTAAAATAATGAAAAAACTAAAACAATAAAACACCTATCAATATCACAGAAAGGTCACATAGTGACAACAAAAAAGACGATAAAAACCATATCACAGGTGATTTATGTGGTGGATTGGTAGCTTTCTTGAAGTTCTTTTCTTTTTTTCTTCTTGGTTTTTTCTTCGGAGAAATTTGGCCCTCGTTTCAAGGATTCCATTCGTTTTAAATTTTCATTTTCAGGGGTTTCTGGAACTCGTGTTATAATTTTTTTAACATTTTCTGTTTCTTTAACATGGGTTCAGGTTTGCTTGCTAGGGTATGTTTGTCTGAATATGTCTTGTTTGGTTGAGTGCGTCTCAAAGTAACACACAGTGAAGTGGATGATTAGCAAAGTAAAGACAGGGGTATATGAAGGCAGCGACACTATGACACGTGTTAATAGCAATACACAGACTTGGCATGCAACCCAGGGTAGAAAGGCCGGAGTTCTCCAACATCGTAATAGTGAAGCCAAGCGGGGGCAAAACTTTCGGCAGCACGAAGTCGAAGGTCATCGGCGACTTCATCCGGAAAGAGTGGAAGTATAGCTCTCTTCCGGAGGTCGAAGTCCTGGCCAACGGCAACGTGCGGCTGAATTTTGAGTTCCTGGCAGATGCGGTTTATGCTGCCAACCAAACCGCACTGTGTGGGATGAAGGTGGACTCGGCCATGTCCACCTTCAACAAGACGGAACGGGTCGTCATTTATGGCGTCCCCTCCGAGTACTCCGAGGGTGAATTGCTGGAGGATCTTAAGCTCAACAATCACGCTGTAGAGGGTTTATACCTCTACAAACCTCGGGAGGGCAAGTCCGTTAGGACTGTCCAATTAACATTTGCAAGCGGGAAAGTACCTAATGGTCCTCTTCCTCTTCTTTATTCCAGGTACCAGCTCCACCCTTACATCCCCAAGGTACGAAGATGCCAGAAGTTGGGTCACCTAGAGAAGTTCTGCCGCAGCAAAGTTTGCTGCGAAAAGTGTGGAGAGGGGCACAGCACCAAGCTGTGTAAATCCAAGAAGGTACGGTGTGTGAATTGTCGGAGTGATAACCACTCCAGCAACTCCGCACAGTGCCCTTCGTTCCTGTCGAGAAGAGCGGAAATAAGGATACAACACACCTACAAGGTATCCTCCCAAGAAGCTCGCCATCACGTCTCGGCCAACACGGTGCCCGCTGCCCCCAAGCCCGTGGTCGAATGCCCCAAACCTGCCCCGGCTCAAACTCCGAAAGGATTCACGCCGGAGTTCAAGGACGAGTCTAATTTTTTTGATTTCTGTTGTAGGTTGGTTGCAGTAGCAATTAGTTCCAGATCCAAGGCTGGTGAAATCAATCCAAAGGACGTCATGGACGCAGTATCAAAAGTATGTGCCGACAATGTCACGAATCTACAACCACCAAATAAGGATACCAAACCAAAGAGGAAGAGATCCAGCACGGATGTTCCGAAGACTGACGTAGTGGGTCAATCAGTGGAAACGCCAAGAAAAGTAAAGGCGGTATCCACGAGTGGACAACCTCGTCAGTCAAGGAGCATCTGCAGAAGTACAGGCTCCAGACCCGTGACTGAGCGCTCTAGAAGCACTTCGCTAGCTAGACCACTGCCCACTGGCTCAGTAACGGAAATGGACGTAGAGGTTTTTACGGCACCCCAAACCCCATGCTAAAACCATACTGATCCATAAAGTCAATAATTATTTTACATTCAATTTCAGGTTCATACAGCTGAACATCAATGGTTTGAACGTACCTGAACGAAAGACCCAACTGGTACAGCTACTACAAAGGAAGCAGTATGATGCCGTTTTTCTCCAAGAGTCCAAGCTCGGTTCAAGGAATAAAGACCCTATCATCAATGGTTATACTTTGATCAGATTAAACAGACCTAATGCTCTCAACCATCGAAGTGGTGGGGGTCTGGCCATCTACATCAAAAATGGTATATCCCATAGTGAGGTTCCTCTGAAAACCATCGCTCCTCTGGAGGCACAGGCGGTATCCTTTACCGACAAGTCAAAGGTTTTTTCTATCGTTAATATTTATCGACCCGAAGTCAAAGGCAAACCTCAACGATTCAGTGAATATCAGTATGTTTACGATCAGTTGCCCGGGACCGACAATATTGTGCTTGGTGATTTTAACGCCAAACACGTATTGTGGGGCTCGCCAACAACTGACACTAATGGTAGACAAGTTGCTGAGTTCATTGAGGCCAATGACCTGGTTAGCATAAATGATGGTAGCATTACTTATGTTGGTGCAATTGCTCCTCTT